AAGGAGCCCGTCGCCGCGACATGGCCAGCACCGTCGGACCCTCTCTTGCACGTTCCTGGGTCATCCTCGCGGAGACAACGTCTTTCACACTCAACCTTCACGCAGCCTCAGCCGGAACCAGGGGACGGTCAACCCACAAGCCAGCCTCGATTGTTTGCGGGCAACATACGCACTGACCATCAGAGCAGCAACACCTGGGCCTCGTCTGGGGATGATGCGGATCTGCCGTCGGATGAAGAAGACCCGGGTGACTGGGAGACGTTTGTGCGGGAGTACAATCGACTTGCGCAGCGGGTAATATGACAGGGCCCCTTCTTGTACTCTTTGCCACATAAGCCAGGGCTGATGGTTAACGTAGCATGGAATTCGTCCTCTCATATATGGAGATTTCCTCTACAGGACTGTTCGTACTGCCATAGACTACACCAATTCCCGCCGGCTAATCTCGGGCAGACTGGTGCTGATGACTCGGTGACGAGACGTCGAGGGAGCTGGCTTTCGAAAATACTACAGCAGAACCCTGAGCCTCCGGATAAGCCGATTAAAAAGTCCGACAACCCACGTTTACGGCACCATCGCAGTCTCAGTGACGTCGCTCTCAGCCTTGTGCCTGGTTCGAAACGGGATGGACGCAGGAGCAAGGACCTCAAGACACTGGTCAGGCTGTGCGGGAAGAGTTCTCTTTTCCTGCCAGCGGGCCACGCACCGTGTACCTTGGCTCTGCCGACCTGTCTTCGGGCACTGGCGAAGGCTCTCGTGGACCACGGCAAGTGTTCTCAGGCGTGCGAGGATATGGAAATAGCGATGCCCCTTACGCTGACTGATATGTGTAGCGGATATGAAGGGCTTATTCCGTGTTCCTGGGTCAGTCCGAGCCGTCAATGTATTGTATGACTATTACTGCGCCGATGAGGACACGAGGGGTATAACAAGTACCACGCGGTGCCCGTCGCTTCCAACACACATCCCATATGACGCCCACGATGTTGCGGCTGCCTTCAAGAGAATCCTAGCAGGCTTGCCCGGCGGCATCTTGGGCTCCTTGGCGCTGTTTGATGCTTTTGTGGCTATACATAGTCAGCTCCAAGGACAGCCTGAACAGTACCGGACCAAGGAGACCAAGCTTCGCGCCCGCCTCATCGCCCTCGCGATCGGTACAGTCAAGTCGCGGTACCGGAAAGAACTCATATGTGCTGTTTTCGGTCTGCTAAGCTTCGTGGGCCGGATCGCAGAGATCGCTCCTCGCGAAGATGGACATGGACATCCGCTTCCCACTTCCGACCTCATGGGGTACCACGCTCTTGGAATCGTGTTCGGGCCCCTTCTTGTGGGTGATCTAATACATAGTTACAGTATGAGAGTTGCAGATCCCGCTGCCGGCTTAGTCCTGCTGCCCGTCTCGCCACCCAAATCAAGAAAGGTGAGACACAAACTTTGCAGACGTGAGCGTGAAAAAGGCAAGAGCAGACCGGAGCATGAGCAGAAGGCCAGCACGTCATCTACCTTCACAGTGGACAAGATCCACATCGCAAACACCATTACCGAGATGCTCATTGTACACTGGCGAGATATCGTCCGTCAGATGAAGGACGTTGGGGCCCTGAAGCCCAAGCGCCCCGGCACACAACGAAGGCCGTGTGCCCCCGATAAGCCCTCCAGAGATACCCATCAGGAGCACAGCGGCCCCAGAAGCGGCTCCTCTTATACCTATACGCCGACAACATCAGGTAAGATTAACGGTTGGCCTTCATTGGCGCCATTCTGACCAATTTCTGTTTAGGAAGAGGGACGCCAAACAGCGTGGCCGAATTCGAGAACCCACTCAGACACGGCTCTTCGAAGGCGGGAGTGTCACATCACGCTAGCTCAGGCCCATCGCAGAAACCGTCCGCTCGAGTGATACTGTTGTCCCCCACAGTAGAAGAAAGCCCTCCGTGCTGTGAGGGAAGTCCAAAGCATACCGATGCTGTAGAGTCCTCGCATTCAAATGATCACAAGTACCACCACTCTCCCCTTTCGCATACACCCCTCGGCCAGGATTCTAATGCTAGACCGCAACCGAGTGTCGTCATGCTGAACAGAGCCGGAAATGCCACACCCCCAGGCGTAGAAATTGACCCCCCCTTGGGCTTACTACCGTCTTTGACCCAAGAAAATCAAGCACCGTCCCAAGAAGCAGCACATCCTAGACGCCTGCCTTCGTCTCACTCGGATCCTGCCATATCGCATTTTCATAAAGCCGGGAGCGTTGAAAGTGTCACAATTGCATTGGGACCTAGAATCGCGATCTTCCCACCATCAGAAAGCCCCGAAGTCCCTTTCGTTGAAGTGAAATGCGATCTTCGCTCTCGGTACCTGGACGTCGAGACAAACGAATGCCACCATAGATCGAAAACCGAACCAAATATGAGCAGTCAAGGTTCATCTGGGCCGATCCTGCCAGCTGATCTACGTGGCCACATCAGGCGCAAGAATAAGTCGTCGCCGGGAAGTACGCCCAGCCAATGGAGGAGTGGTACTTCGTCGAGTAGTAAGCGACAAAAATCCAATGCCAAAAGAACAAAGACAGTGGTGTCCGACTGGACAAGACTTCTGCACACAAAAGGCAAGCATGGATTCAGACATTCGTCGTCGTCGTCGTCTTCGTCTTCGTCTTCGTCTCTGCCTGGGAATGAGATCACGCCTGAAGGGGCGGAGAGCAGAAATAAGTCGACCCCGAGGCGTTACCACGCTCATACAGCCCCATCCTCAGTGACAAGAGCGCTCACTGGTTCCTGCCATAGAACTGGTTCACTGCGTTCGGCTTCTAGGCCTATGGCTGGTGCCGTGAAAGCCATGAAGGCATTGTTTGACAAACCAACTGGAGGACCATCTGATCACTCCCCTGCGGCCATAAAAGCCATGAAGGCATTGTTTGAAGAATCGACTGCAGGATCGTCCAACGAATCCTCCCGGAGCTCGGACTCATCGGCGATTGTCAGCAATATCTCATCACGCCAAGGCCAGAGCTCGGGGCAAGCTGCCCATACGCCCCCAACCAAGGGACATGGTTCCGGCGTGGTGTTCAGCCTCCCACAGGTGCAGAATATGCCCTCACAACAGTCCTTACGAGGCGCTCCCGAGATTGAGAGGACGCCGGTCACGACTGTCCAGCCGGATCACTCAGTTCCACTGATGACTGAGAAAGGGCAGAGAGTCAGAAGCCATCCTCCGAGATTCGGTACGATGGTGCCACACCAAGAGGAGCCACCGATTGGGTACTTTGTCCGTCCCAGCTCGGGCATGTCGGTAGCGAGTCGAGCAAGTCACAGCCTCAGGTCTATCACACCCCCAGAGCCAAATCCCTTGTTCTCTGGTCCGAGAACGAGATATACACCAGAGAACAGGAATTCGGTCCTGCATGCCCAGGTCCGCAACCTCCAGCGACAGCTCGAGAGGAGAGACGAGGAGGTTCTGCAATTGAGACGCCAGCTGGAGGCGCAGGAGTACAGGGACATCGGCACGCTTTGCGAGAGGCTACGGGCGGCCCAGCGCGAGTGTCAGACGTGGCATAAGAGGGCCCTCAGCGCCGAAAAAAGGGTGGCCACGTTCCACCAGTTGACCTCGCGGTTCCAAGCCCTAGGGGACCACGGGGTCGACCGTATGGCCGAGACGCCGCTGAGGGATGGCAACTTTGACCTCGCGGAGGATGCTGACGGTGGAGGTGGTAGAAGAGATGGACATGCGATCAGCTCGCATAGTGATGTTGATGACAATACCAAACACGGTGAGGGCAAATCCCCGTTGACCAAAAGCTGCGTACAACCAGTCTCAGGAGCTCCTCGGATCAAACGGAGTATTACTATCAGAGCAAGCGCCGAACGCGGTGCCCGTGCCATGGGCGGTGACGGCGCCGTTGTTGGCGATTACATGACGGAACGGGAGTCTGACCGTAGTAGTCAACGTGACCTCCCTGAAGCTGCTGACATGGATGTCATGTGACTTTGGGCTTGGCCTAGGGGCAAGGCGATAAGGCTGGCGATGGGTCGCACGGAAAGTCAGCTCAGCTAAGCTCAGCTCACGTCGACGGGATTTAAAAGCTGTTCGGGGGTAGTTTTTGCTTGACCGCCATGTCCCTCATCGTCATAGCAGGAAGGATTGCGCGGGGCGGTGGTGTAAGGTGTCCTTCCAAGAAGACTTACTTACCTCTTGGGAACAGAACAGGAAAGAAGAGGAGAGGCTCATAACGTGGTCTAGTTGTTCTGGGGTGGCTGGCTCATTGTTTAGCATTGTACCTACTTACCTAAGTACTTACATACTTACTCGGTCTTCCCCCCCTCTTTCTCTCTCACGCAAACTCACCTACTATAGGTATTTAGGTATAGTGTATCGATATTGAAGGGAGTTGTTCGGTGAGCATGTCGAGACAGGATTGGTTCCTCTCTTTTGCACAGGCCAATTTGTGACTTGTAGAATGGTCTACTGTAGCCTGATCTTTTTCTTTTCTTGAAAGGGTAAAAAAAAAAAAACCCTCGGGAAAAATTCCAAGCGAGGATGGTTGATGGTCACCGGTAGCTGGCGACTGGGCCAGTTGGTCCACATTCACATGATGAGGATGCTATCCTATCCATCTCACTCTCGCTGTTTCGACCACCCTCAATGTCTGCTTTGTCTGGGCCTCTGAGTCCTACATGGATGACTGTGCCGCGCAGCTGGTCTTCGGTCAGAGGATTAGAACCGAGAATCTGAGTTTCTGCAGCGGTCTCTTGAAGGCCTTTGGACAGTGTCCGGTGTGTAGAGGCGGGAGAGCATGCTTGTCAGGTGATGGAGGGATTGAAATACCTACGTTACTGCTGTACAGCAGACGGGAATAAAAAGGCATCTTGGCAGACAGTGTCATGAGACTAACCTGGAAGAGAGCGAGAAGTGAGGACAGAAAGGAAGAACAAGGCAAGAGAACAAAGTCAAAAAGAGAAGTGAAAAAGCAAAAGGTAAACACAAGCAAAAGGTAAACAATGATGCTCTCGATCGGGGAATCGAACCCCGGCCACCTGCGTATTTGCCCGGGTGATGGGGATGACAAGCAGGTATCCTTACCACTAGACCAATCGAGATGCTCAGATGTCGATTTGACACAGTATTAGTATCTATGTGCGACACAAGATGATGCCAAGCAGTGGGTTAGGTGAGATCCGTAATTGGTGCTAAGGTGCGCTATGCTTTTAGGGGCTTATGGTGAGGTGTTCTTGGCCATGGATGAGGGGTTGAAAAAGTCCTGAACTCTTTACAGTCACATGCCTTTAACCTACTTATGAAGAGCACCTCGAAGTCTGTAACAACTGGCTACGGATTCACCTTACCCATTACTTCCAGAGCTTAGGTATCATTAACGGACAATTTGTTGATTTCTCCTCACTGGAGAATAAGGGGGCCATGGCCTGAACAGCTCCACATAAGATAAGCCATTATCATGTCCAAATGAACAACGTTAAGGAAGAAATCGTGTGATGGCGGGGGATATTATAACGATCTTCTCGTCCAAGATTGAGAACATTGACATATCATGCCCATCGATATTTTAGGTATGGGTAAGCCCGGTTCATGAGTATCACTTACTTGTACTCTACTCGACTATCTACTATATATGTTGTTCCTTTCGAGTGCCAATGATCTACGTGTACCTATCGTACATACCATGCCTGTTGGATCTGGGGCAGGCTAAAATCCTTCGGACCGACATTGCGAGCAGGCGTAACTTGTAAGGGCAAAGGCCCAGACGCGGTCACGCCGCAACACCATATCGGGAGAGCAACTGTGCTGTGAAGGTAGTCACTGATTTTGCCAATTCCATCAGTACAACCTGTCAAATCATCAAGTTGCCATCCTACTCTCTATTGAACTCAGGTAATCGTATCGGTCATGCAACGCTTATTAGAAGCCCTCAAGGTTCCTCGAGGGCCTGCACGCATCTCCGCCTTAGTAACAGGTATTGTAAGCTAGCGCGATTTGTAAGGTCATGGTGGATGACTAAAGTTCATACTAACTGCCCACCATCTAGGACACCGCAACTCCTGCTTCAGCCTTCGATAGGGTTACGGAACCATGAGGTCCAGGACGAACGGCGCCGGCATCATATCGACACTTATCCACACGCCTACATCATAGTCCCGCTTCGCCCGGCTTGAAATAGTAGCAGGGTCCAGACTCTTAGACTCTCAAGCGCCCCAATGGCCTCCATCATGCCATGCCAAGTATGAACTCAAGGGTAGAGTTGAGTCTGACAGGTTGACAAGTAGGCCGGCTTGCATGGCTGAGCCGATCCGGTCCCACGCAGCGGTGCAAGTCTCACAGTATTTTGGACTTTTCGTATCACGAAGTGACCAGTATGGTCTCCCTTCTAGTGATCTGACCAATACCCCAGGCCGTGTTCTTGACCCAGATAGAACCTTCGTATGTTACGTAATCTGCATGTTGTCTTTTAGGATGGCCCCAAAGACCTGAGCAGATTGCCCATCCTAACGTAGACGGTACTCGGTCGACTGCTGCTCATACTAGGCACGAATGACAAATATTGGCTAATATTCTTTGATACACGGGCAAGGAAAATATGACTGGATGAAGCATCAATTTTTTCAGAACACCTAGTTCTGATATGCAGAGCGGTGGGAGTGTTGCATCGCCACCCCTTAGCTCACAGCTAGCACGATGTTGCGGCCTGCTGGAGGAAGGGTTGGTAATTATTTTATGCTGTATGGTGTCACGATAAGCGTTCACATGCTTCACATGCCCTCGTGGCCCATCGGGGTTTGTCTTCCTCCGCGACACTATTTCCAACAAGAGTAAGTCTTGCAGACCATCTCTAGCGTATACTCCGAACCATGGCAGCCACTCACCTTAGCAATGTCGAACCGGTGCTTTCAGATATCCATCGCTGATCACGTTCCTCTTGCTTAGGTAGGCTTATCATTTCATAACCCAAAAAAAGCACGCTCTTCGGTGTGGGAGTATCTAACCCACGCAGTTTTGTCATCTGTGTGACATCGTCTCGAGTCTCCTGCAGGGTTAGGAAAATCCCAGGTACGAACTCCTATCAGACGCAGGTGGGCGGATGAACAGGAGACAGAAGTTCAGGAGAAGGGGAGACACAGATGGTCATGGCTCAAAGCCCGAAATAGGGAGAATGCACCTACATATCTACTTATATAAGACATGAGCAATGACCATATCGAAACATGAATCCGGTGTTCATCTCAAACACTCCCGACTGCCTCCCCAAGTGCTCACACGACTATCAGCTACGCGGAGACAGACTTCATCATGCAGGTCACAAGATCGGGCACCAGCCTGCCAAAGGCCGATACAGCCTATTCCAAAGATGAGCTATACTACAAACTCAAGGGCACCACGGTGCGACTGCCCGACCTCAGGCCCGTCTTCCGTGGCTGGAGAGGTATCGACACACCACATATAAACCCATACTACGAGTCTCTGAAGCTGAAGGTCGCGGAAAAGCTTGCGAGGTGCGTGTGAATCTAGATAGTCTGTAGAATAGAAGTACCTTGCTTTTTCGAAACCAAGGTTACAAAGAAAAGTCTGGCTAATTTGTTTGTATCGTTAGCCTAAATCTACATCCCAAGAAGGAAAACTCTCTCAAACGCGCAGATCTCGCCCTCTTCGCAGCGTTATGGTGGCCCGACGTCCCCCCTGAGCAGCTCGAGACGCTGGCGAACATCGCCATCTGGGTGTTCACGTGGGACGACGAGGTCGACGAGCCCAGCGGCTCCTACGCCGAGGACTACCACAGGGCGCAAGCCTACAGGAACAACACGACAAGATTCATCGGCGTCAGCCTCGGCCTGGAGCCGGCCGACCCTAACCTCGTCCCCATGGACGCCATCGTGCAGAGCTTCGACGCTATTGGCACGGGCCTGCGGCGCTCCTACGACGAGGCGCAGCTCCGGCGCTTCCACGACCGAGTGGTGCGCTTCGTGTCCGCGACCGAGGTGGAGCAGCGCCACCAGCTGCAGCTGTCGGAGTCGGCGGATGCGGGCGACGACGACGCCAGCGGCGTCCCGACGCTGGAGGCGTACATGGCCAATCGCGCTGGCACGAGCGCCGTCGACATTACCAGCGCGAGCGCCGAGTTCGGCCTCTCTCTCCACCTGCCGCGGGACCTGGTTGAGGGCGAGGCCGTGGCGGCGCTCTGGCGCGAGACGAACCTCCTCTTCTCCATCACCAACGACCTCGTGTCCTTCCGCAAGGAGTTCCGGACCGGCTCGGTCGAGAACATGGTCCCACTCACCTTCGCCACGACCTTCGACATGGGCGTCGCCGTGGCCCAGCTCGTCGGCGCCCTTCAGGCATCTAGAGACCGCTTCGACAAGGCGGCCGACGCCCTGCTCGCCGAGGCCGAGAGGAGAGGTTGCAGCAAGAGCGACGTCGAGAGTTACATCCAGCTACTCAGGAATAACAATGTGGGAAACCTGGTATGGAGGTGAGTGTATTCCTGACCCCCTCCCGTTATCGTGGTTTGAATTGGGCTGCAGGGAAAGTCGCGCTGATCATCATCCGGTCACAGCTTGGAGACGTCAAGATATGGGATGTCGGAGGCGAGGAACGAGGATGGAAGTTATACTTACGTTTTGTGAGGTGAGGGAACAGAGGCAGACCAATGAATCAACCGAAACAGAAGGTTCATCTTGGTGAAGACACGCGCCGCGTCTTGTTGGACAGATCCAGAGGAAATTACCCCCATCAACAACTATCTTGATACCGTTTCCCTCGCATACGGCTCGCAAGATTTTTTTAATAGGCACGCATGACAACATCGAGATGTCCCGTATCCTACCAGAAATCCAGGTTCCCGATCTCTGGCTCTGGGCCTTCGGCAACCTCGGCCGACGATTACAACATGGCAGGAAGCAAAAGTCCAGCCACCATGTGACAATGATTGAGGAAGGGGTTCTTGGGGTGGGAGTCGGGAAAAGAGAAAAAGAAAACAAGAAAAAAGCACGTAAGGTCCAAACGTACAACACCAGGGATTCGCTGGTCGTCACCGACCCAACTACTGATCTGGCGGTATGTAGCTTAGCTATGGGGGAGCAGACGGGACCCCGCGTTCTCTACATCCTATGGTCGTACGTGATTTGAAATCTGGACAACTGGTTCTATATATGCTATAGCCTGTACGTGGCTCAAGGTTGGCGTAGTCCTTGAGAGCGGACAAAATCTGCCAGACCTTACAAGGTTGGCCATCGAGTGCCATCGTGTCTAGAACCAAGAACTGTCTTCCAAATCACCACATTGCAAGCGATATCGTCACGATGGCCTGACCTCGACGAGTCGAAGTTCACTGGTAAACATATCCGCCGCCTTCTCTCCGATGACCATGGCCGTATTCCGCGTGTTGGCAGCGACGTTCAATGGGGCTATGCTCAGGTCGACCACCTTCAGGTTTTCGACCCCGTGTACGCCGAGCCTCGCATCGACCACGCCCATCTCGTCAAGCGGCGCCATCTTACAAGTTCCGAGCGGATGCCACGCCGTGACGATGTTCTCCCGTATCCACTGCGCCAGGATGCGATCGTCTTCTGGCGTGTACCGGATATCAGCAATATCGCGGCCCAGCGGCGACCCGATCTCGACGCAAGCAGCTTGAGAAGAGGGGGGAAACGGAGGATGCGTCCTCGCGACTTCCCCCCTGTAGGTGTCCATCCGGCGAGCGATCTCCCGCATCTTCTTATAAGCCCACATGCATTTCTTCAAGTCGACGTCGCCGGCGTCGGTAAAGAAGCCTGTTACGAAGTCGACTGGATCGCCGAGCTCGTTGCCGGTTATGTGCAATCGACCGCGGGAGTAGGGGTATGCTGTAACGGCAGAGATGGTCATGTACTGCCCAACTGGGACCTCATCGAGGTGTGAGTGGTATCTGCGGAGCCGCGTCAGCAAGCTACCCCTTTCTCCGAAGTTAGCGAGCCCTTCCACTACCTATTGAGCATTGTGAAGAGGCACAGAGGCTTATTGAGATTGTCCTTGAAATCGCGGTCATAAACCTTTTCGAATTCTGGGCCAAGCGCTGTCACTTCGGACCCGGTCGGACGCACTTTAGCTATCA